GTGAAAGTGCTTCTGAACAAATTGGAGTTAAAAAACAATTAACTGAAAGAATGTTTTTGCTTGCTATTAAAGAGTCCAGACAATTGGTGAATTTCACAGATCAAAACATAAGCGTAATATGAGCCAGACTGTGATTCTCACTATAACTGCAGAATGCCATGTAAGATATAAATATTAAGGATACAGGAAGACAAAATGACAAAAAGGAGGGGAGAAGCTTTTGTCTTTCCCTTTTTGAGACATTTTTATTTTTGAAAGAAGAAAGAGAGAATATGTTGGTATCATAATGGCAACCATAAGAAACTGACAATAATAATAGAGGGATGATTGGATTGCTAGAGCAACCTGCAGAGAGAGGAATTATACCAGATTTACTTCAGAAAATGCTTGAGCAACTATGAAAATGTTTGAACAAAAAAACATGTTTATCCAGTAAGTTAGCTAAGTCACTTAATAATAAATTGACAGCTTTTGAAAAAAAATTAATGAAAGACTTGTAAAAATGAAAGAGGGGGTAAAAGAAGAAGTGAAGATTATTTCAGGTTCTATGACACAAGTGCCTGCAGATGTAGAAGAAATTAATGAAAAAATAAACTTTTGAAGAGTAAGACAAAATTATAGAGAATTGGAAAGAAAACTAGATAAAATAGTTAATTTTTCTTTTGTTCAGAAATGAAAATATAGATCTAATCTTTTGTTCAGAAATGAAAATATAGATCTAATCTGTTGTTCTGAAGATCTCTAACAGCTTTAAGATTGTTAAATAAACAATTTCCAAAAGTGATTAGAAAAAGATGTTAGCAAACTTAGTGTCAGCTTTGGAAGCCGTATTGAGATTTGATCAGTGGTGGGATTCAAATTTTTTTTACTACCGGTTCTGTAGGCATGGCTTGGTGGGCGTGGCAGGAGAAGGATACTGTAAAATCTCCAGTCAGAGGTGGCATTTGCCAGTTCTCTGAACTATTCAAAATTTCCACTATCGGTTCTCCAGAACTGGTCAGAACCTGCTGAATACCACCTCTGGATTTGATGCTCCCAAGCTACCACAGTTGGGTCTGTGAAAGTGGGAGGGAGGAATTCATCTGAATATATCTAGCTACCAAACAAAATAAAAATTATTTTGTTTGGTTCAAGGTCACTGAGTGTGGTGTACAATGAAATGGGAATTTTACTTTAGGACAGATGGTGATTGGACCATGTGAAGTGGTGATGACTAAAGCGGGGAGATGGATTTGTGGTTTTGACTTTTGCAAGGAAGCCCAGAACTTTCAGTTTCAGGATTCCACAGATGTGCCAGTTTACTATCCAAATAAAGGTACTTTTGAAATATGTCTGTCTCAGAATTATTGACTGGCATGGAGGTTTGCTAGAACACCGACATTTAGTGTCCTTTAAAAGGCTCCACTACAGTTGTGAGCTTGATGACTGATCCCTTTGTCTCTGGGTGCATAAATTTATGGAAGATTGTTGTTCTGAGGCCTCCTCATGAGGATCAGCCATATGGATCATTCATCCTCTTCTTGTCTGGAGAAATTCTGAAGAACTGGTTCTTTGATCTTTGCCATAGTTACTGTCTCTGCTCTCCTGGAGACATATTTAGCTCACCAGGCCTCTTCTG